TGACAAGTTGCTACCATTTGAAGTGGAAACAGATGCATCTGATGTTGTTATTGTGGTAATTCTTTTTCAGGCTGGACATCCAACTGCTTCTATAGAAAAGGAAGCTCAGGCAATCATTGAGGCTGTTTGTCATTATTTGACCAGTGATTCATTAGGTTTGATAGAAAGCACAAAATTAAAGTAAAAAACAATAACGTATTGCACTGGAGGATCAAATTATCTTGCTATAATTTTGATATTCACTACTGACCAGGCCAAAATAACTTTTCTCTTGACATATTCTTCAGGTCTTATTGTGGAGCAGTATGTTATGATAAACCATCTTTATTGTATCTCCAAAAGGTTTTATATCATCCAGGAGTTAGACACTTGTTTCATTTTGTAAAAGTAGAAAATATACCCTATTCAGTAGAGCAGGGTTTCCTGACCAAGGGTGCTTGCACCTTTGGGGTGCAAGATAGCATTTCTGAATTAGGGATTGTGCTCTGAACCATCACCTCTTCAAGTTGCTTTGTGAAGATTTTGGAAGTGAGCATTCAGTTTTTTGGTTTTCCACATGGAAACCTGCTGGTTGTGATGTGGGAGAACTTTAATGAACATCTTCAAACTTTGAGAAGTTAAAAGCTTTTCTGAAGGAATGTGACGATGATCTCCCCAGAGAAATGGAATCACAAGAATTCAACCAAATTCTAGCCTATTTGAGTGATATTTTCACTTGCATGTGTGACCTGGGTGTATCTATTCAAGGGAAAAACACAAACGTATTGAAATGCTGCAAAAAGTTAAATGCTTTTAATGAAAAGTTACATCTTTGGTGTCAATGAGTTAAAAAGTGGAAATCTTTCAAATTTTCCATCACTCAAAGAAATGGTTGATGACAATAAGTCCCTAATTCCAAGTGTGTGTGAAGAAATTGTGGATCATTTGGAAATACTATCAGTCATTTAATGGATATTTTGGAGGAGGAGAACTGGAAATTTCTGAAGAATGGGTTATAAATCCAAACTCCTTCAATTTGGATAATATGTTGAATGATGAAGATCTGAAGGAAGATCTTATTGAACTGCACAAAAATTGTGTTTTTGAAATGCAGTTTGAAAGCAAAACTTTGGAACAATATTGGTATTCACCAATGGACATGTATGAAGACTTTGTGCAAAAACACTGTGCTCATCCAATTTGCGACAACATACTTATGGGAGTCTGAATTTGCTGCCCTTTTGTCAATTAAGGCAAAATTTAAAGATTGCTTGGGTACACAGGCAGACATGCAGATTGCTATCAGCAGCACAGTGTCACGGTTTGAAAAAATCTTAAGCAATAAACCTGAACAAAATGTCATTAAATTTAAGTTGTCTTATGAATATTTGAACACTAGTTCTTTAATTTTTTTTAAAGAAATTTCATGCATGGATGAAAATTTAATTTATTTGTAGAGTTTATGCAACTTTTAATTTGTTGTAAAATTTTTTTCTTTTCCATATGTTTCATTTTTGTTTATATATTATTAAAAATTGCCTATACAAATTTGTTTTGGCCATCTTCACCTTTATTCTTAAATACATTATTACTTTAAGGGGTGTGGGGCATAAAAAAGGTTGGGAACCACTGCAGTAGATGGTGTGCAACAAGTAATAAAATCTTGTTGGATATGTGCTGAATACAAGTCAAGCTTTCATCGGCTAGAAGGTATGCATTTGATTAAAGCTACTTGGCCTTTTGATCAATTGAGCATAGACTTTAAGTGAACATTGCCTAGCATGAATAGGAATCATTATTTCCTCAACATTATAGATGAATAATCTAGGTTTCCTTTTGTGTTCCGGAAGAAGGGGCACTAATGTGATTTTATTTCCTTTTGTTGACTGTTGTAAATAATAGACATCGTCCATTCACCCCTGCAGTCTGGAGTGGATCATTCCTATCCCGAGTTTTATTTATATATAGCAGTTTTTATTTTCTTATTTTGTTGAGTATGTAATTAACAGAATTGGATACCTTGGCGTAGTGTAATGGTTAGCATGCTTGTCTTGCTAGATCAGTTACTACTGAAAAGTGAGTTTGACCCTCACTGGATGCTCCATACTTTTGGCCTTGTTCCACATCTAAGCAATGCTTAGAAAATCATTTGGGCACCTCGAGGTGGTGTAATAGTTAGAAAACTTGTCTTGCTAAAACAATTATGAATGTGTAGTGAGTTCGATCCTCACTGGGTGTCGCTTACTTTTGGCCTTGTGCCACATCCAAGCTATGCTTGGAAAATCACTATGTAACTAACAGGATTTTAGTTAAGGCCTTTTATTCCTGCAGCTGTTTCATTCTAAAGCTCAGAGGTTGGTCTATAGTGTGAGTGAATCTGCATTTGTGACTCTTTACTGATTCAACAGGCAATCTAATATATATCTATTCTTCAATGTCAACTTATTTATATAGCAGTTCCTGACAATGTCTTATGTCTTGCATGTAGTGTTCCACATGGAGAAAAAATGGGCTTCACTGTTATCTTTCAATAGTTGTTGGACAGTGACTAGAGCAAATATTGTCAACATGAAAACTGCTGACATTTTTTTTTTTATCTTTGTTGCTGAATATTTTATGAGTTTGTCATTGCTAAACATCATTATCATCAAGGGAATCTTGAATTTCTTGTTATAATATGTACTCAGCTATTTTATCTACATATATAAGCATATAATAAGATTTGTTATATACTTTATAGATTTTGACATGCTTTATATAATAAAGAAAATTTTATATATATTTTATCAAAATTTTTCTCATCTCATAATACAAATATGACTTATTTATAATTATTGACAGCAATGACAATCTTTTTGAGATCATAGAAAAATAAACATTAAAATACTAGAAAAAAAAGATATGCTAATTAAAAAAATTCAAAAGAACATATTTTGAGAGTGATGAAGTAAAAAAAACCTATTTTAATCAAGTGACATTACTTGATCAAATTATTATCTGCTTAGAAATAATAAGTTAGATATGAGTTTTTTAATTATTTGATCTCATTTTTATATGCAATCAGATTTATTAGTATCCATTCTATTACTGTATTATTAAAGAAGGTTTCATTTCAAAGTAATCACTTCATTGAAATAAGCATGGATACATAATTGTGATTTAAAAGGGTGAACAATTTCTTTTTGATTATTTTTTAAAAAAATATTTATTCTTCATGAATTATATACAAATTTTAAATTGGCTTAAACTAAAAATGAAGAAAAAAATGAACATCTCTCAACTTTAAAAAAAGCAGATAAATTTCAGTTTGTCTTATTAGTTTGACAAGTTTGTTAATGTCAAAATTTAAATAATGTATATTCTTAATATAAAATATGGTGAACTGCAATCCCCAAAATTTTTCACTGATATTTTATGAGTTTATTTTTCTGTTATTTAACTATAAACATAAACTTTGAACAGTTTATCCACAATTTTGATTCTGATGTACAACATATTTTTTTAAATTGGAAAAATACAATAAAAAAATGAAATAGACCTTATTGGTTGAATTTAAGAAAAGCTGTTTGGACATATATAAAGAGGACGGTGAAAAGTTCTTGGATCAACCAATTTCCCAAAATCCGACCAAATAACTAAAAATCAAAGGTTCTTTGAGAACTTTTCAGTAGACTCAATTTTATTCAATTTTTTTCTATTGTAAATTTCATTTACCTTGCATATGTTTATATTCTGAATATTTTTAAAATCTATGAATACTGATTTCAATTGTAACTTTATTTCTGAGAACCTAATGATTTTCATGGTAATTATTTTATATCAAGTTTTCAAATCTTGCTGGAACATGAAAATTTTTATCTTATAAACACTCCTGGGAGAACAAATTTTCAGATTTTGTTTTATTATTTATGAGGTGGTGTTAAAGAAAAAAGAAACCCTTTCAAATAAGTTCTGATGTTTAGTCGTTAGCTCAGCTTTTTGGGAGTGGATATAAAATAAAGTATTGACAATTCTGGTAGAAAATTGTTCATGAACTTGTTTCTCTTCTGAGTATTCCACTATTTTTGTCATTTAACCAGAATTAGCTGAGCCAAATAAATATTTCTGATATTTAGATATTTTTAAAGCTTTAAAAGTGTGGAATTTGTTCTATTTTTTTTTGTATAGAAATGCTAATTTAAGATGTAAAGACTGAGAATTGCCTTGTACTATGAAGTTTACTAAATTTCTGTAGCCTGTTTTTTGCTGAAGTAGTTACCTATTTTTTACTAGTACCAATAGTCATTGTTAAAGTTCAGGTGACAAAAATAAAAGTCAGGATTTTGAATGCTAATTTTCAAGGTAAGAATATTTTCTGTACAGAAAGGTGTGATATAACTTTCTATCTTTATTCTTTTCAATTAGGCCTTGTACCATACTTAGCTGAACTACATTAGTGATTTTTTTTTTTTTTTTTTTTTTTTAATATGTTCTACTTTAAGAGAGATACAATCCATTTTCTTTTTTTATACTTAAATAAGTTATGCTAATCACTGGTTTAATTTTAAATTTAATTTTAATTAATGAGTACTAATTGATACAACTATTTACACTCTTATGAGGGGGTGCCTGTTATCTTAAGTCTAAGTAAAAACCAAGATTTTGAATCTTGATTTTCAAGACAGAAAACTTTAAGAGAGTCACAATATATTTTCTTCCATCACTTGAGCATTTGTAAAATATTGCAATACTTATGTGGCATAAATATCTATTTTATAATATAGTCGATGGTTGAATCTAATTAAATTGATGATTTTCTGTATGTGTTTTGTTTTGTTTTACTAGCACACAAAAGTAAACATTTTATTGCAAAGAGAAATACTAAGATTAATGAAAATGGTCCTGAAAACTATTTAGGGGTGACCAATGAATGTCTTTTCTATTATAACCCTATATAAATTGCTCTATAACCATGTTTAGTGAGGAACAAATTTTGAATAAATTTATTTAAAAGTTAATCTTGAGATTGATTTGCTTTTCAGCATTGGGAGGTCTTCCAACAAGTGTCAGAAGTGTTCATCTTGGTTCCTGCTTTATTGGGTCTTAAAGGAAATTTGGAAATGACTCTTGCATCTCGACTCTCAACGCAGGTCAGTTACAATTTGACTTTACTCTCTGATAATGATAATGATGATGAAACTAAATGTTTTTTTTTATTTGTTTCTTATAATAATTGAAGAATCCTGTCCTAGATATTTCAAAGACATGAAAAAATAGTTAACTAGCTTAACTATAGAATTGCCAATTTGAAAGATGAATGTTGAGTTATAATCAAAACTTTTAGAAACATTTGCACATAAATAGTTATGTTTTATGTTCATACTTCAACTAGTGTTATGCTAATTTAATAATCCTGAGTAGTTAATTTATATTAATTAAAATGCTATATAAAGGGTGTTTCATTAAGAGGGATCAAAGTCAGCAGTAAATAAATCAGTGTTATTGGTGAAAATTTATTTATTTCTCTACTGGATCATGTTATTTAAGTCATAGCAGTTATGTGTGAAAAATAATATCGCCCAAATGTCTGCCAAGGCTTTGGTGGCACACCTCCACTCTATGGTTAAAATTTTTGATGATGTGTCTGCATAGTTTCTCCTTAATCTCACCAATATGCCTTATCTCATCTGTCAGCTGTTGAATTGTCATTGGCATAGACTTTACTTTTGAGATGACCCCAAAGGAAGAAATCTAAAGGTGTTAAGTCACACGAACATGGTGGCCAATTGACATTGTTGTTTTGAGAGATGATGTGACCTGGGAACCTCTCATTCAATTTCTGTTTGAATGTCCATTTTCATAATAGGCTTTGATAACTTTAACACGTTTGATTGTTAATCTTCCCATGGTTGAAATTGCAAAAGACTTAAGTTGTTAAATCTGAAAGAAAAAGAAAAAAAATCATTAGATGCTTAAACTTAATTCACATTTAAAATCTGTCCAAATTATTGGAACACTCTTTATATATATGTGCATACACACACACACACAAAATATCACTTTTACAAGGAGAAATAAATCAGTCAAAGCAAGAAAAGATTGGAGTAAAAAATTTTAAACATTAAAACAAATTTTTCACACACATTTATTATTAGTCTTATTTTTATTTCCTTCTGACATGTCAGTTCAACAGGAAAAAATGTTTAAAAACTTGTAGACCCAGAATTAGAAAAGGACAACAAGATAAATTAAAAATGATGTCTGACAGTATCTTGACAGATGAAATTTGGAAAGACAAGATAGTTTCTACTTTGTATTGACCTTCACCCCTAACATAAACAGACTTCATAAAAAGCCAAGGCAAAAGAAACAAGAAACTAATAAATGATGGATGTTGATCTGAGAAAAGAGTATTATGAAAGAAAACATTATCAAAAATGCCTTCAAGCATTTATAATGACTTTCTAAATGACAAGTGTCAGCATTGCTATATTTATATCCATGGTAATAATATATAATGACAGGATTTGTAATTATGTATTCAAACACGCACAAACACATACTTGATAACATTTCACCACAACCTTATATTTAACTTCTGCTTGCTATTTTTGCTTGTGTATAAGAAAATGTAACAATCACTTGAAATTAAATGAACATCTAATTATTTTATGTTAAAATTCTTTGAAATTATAAAAACATGTAAAAAGATAATGATTTTGTAACCTATATATATATATATATATATATATATATATATATATGTGTGTGGGTGGGGAGACAGAAATTATTATGTGATCATAATCATGTGTTATTTAGTTTAGACTCTCTCTCAAATCTCCCTGAAGGCTTATGGGAAGTAAGGTATGGGGGGGAGGAGACATGTTTTTCCCAGATTTTTGTTTAACACTAATGTTTGAGATTTATAGTTGTGACCTTGAGTTTATTTTGTTAGATTTTATTTTTATTTGCTTAGTAGTTTGAAAGAAAAAAAATTTAATACTATTTCATTTCAAAGATTTTATATTTAAAATAAATTTTATTATTTTTAGGCTATTTGTTGATGAGTTGTGATATGGTTGCAGAGTAGGAATTTATATATATTATATATATATATATATATATATATATATATATATATATATATTTATTTTCATGCTTTCACTCTTTATTGAATATATTTATGCTGTTTTTTTTTTTTTTTTCCTGAAAGCACTTCTTCTAAATATAACTTTTTCCACTAATCACAATATTTTCTAAAAGTTTGTAATTCTATGAAATGTTATAACTACACTAGAACAGTTCCACCCATTCAGGCCTTTACAGCTAGGACCTGCTGTGCCATGTGCACAGGGTCAAATCATCCTCATTTCCTTCATATTCCAGACTTCTGAGTGGATGCTTCTCTTATCATTATGATCGCTTTAAGTCGAGAGTCAACCATTATTGGTCTTAAATATCCTCATCGTATGCACTTCTTACTTTTTCCCTTTATGCCCTTACAACCTCATTCAGTAGTGAGTGGCTCTTTGACCTTGTATTGAGGGAACAATAGTATAAAAAGAAACATGTAAAAAGTGACAAAATTATTTATGTATGGACCTGCTTTGCAATAAAATTTTCTGTTACATCTGTTGAGGATCAGAGAGTATTATCTGTACCCTCTGGAAAGTGCATTTTACATATGTGGATTAAGGGTATGACTGACTTTGTAAACATTTTAATTGATTACTGTATAAACTCATGCATAAGTTGACTTCATGTATAAAGTGACCTGAATTTTTTATGCATGAATTTTAACCCCACCAGAAAATATTTACCTGTGTATAGTGCAACTAGTCATCAAAAATGCATGATATTTAACTTCTTCAAAAAAAAATTATCTGTTATAGTGCAACCCTCTACTTTTTATGTAAAAAAAAATTGATCATAAAAACTTGCATGATACTCGAGTATATATTGTAGTTGGTTTAGTAATATTATTATAATTGTGCTTGTCCCTCCCTTCATTAGTTTGCACAGTCATTACACCTTGCAAATAATGGACTATTCCATTTTGATTATGTGAAAAGAGGGGAAAGACATTAATTGGTTACAGTGAAAAAATGAAAGAGGGAGAGTCAGAATAAGCTGATAAGAACAGATACTACACTTTGATCTTAGCCAAAATGCCCACAATTGTATTTTCTTGCTGTCCCACACTGGCACGATGTGACACAAGGTCAGTTTAATGTAGGGAACCTGAGCGTGTGCACCAAGCCAAGTTAAAAAAAATAGCCCAGCACTCACAACTGTTGGTTGCCCTGCTATTAATATTATTACTGATTCCCTACTCTTTAGTGCAATGAGGGAGGTACTGCTGTGGGCAGCTGTTTCCTGAGAGCAAGCAACACTCAATATTTTCAGTTGCACTCTATCTGCAGACAGACAAGTAACTTTATTGGACAGATACTACACTTTGATCCCAGCTAAAAGGCAGGGAACCATGATGATCGCGATAAATCCCTTTTTTTTAAAGTTGCACATTATTGAATGACAGAAACATAGTAAGGCAATTGCCAAATATCCAGTTACGATAAATAAAATAACATCTGAATTATTTTAAAATTATTATTAAGAGAAATGTTTGTAAGACAAAAATTTGGTTAGTTAAGTATATATATCACTTACCATTTTAACTTTTGATTCTTTGATTAGCTGTTGATTATTGGTTGCTTCTCTTCTCTGTAAGTAAAAGACAGTTTAAAATATTCAAACCTCTTGCCTCCTTTTGATAAGCTACTTAGCCTAGATGAAAACTTGGAAAATGTCAATGGATTAATTTTCTGTTCTATGTATCTTTTGATAGGCTAGTTATGTTTGTATTTTATTTCCTTGGCTTCAATTTTCTTTAAGAGTAAACATAAGAAAATTAATGTAATTGATTATCTAGCTTACATTTTTATCCCAAGTTATTGACTTAAGATATTGAACTCAAATTCAGAACTGCTTGACATGGAGTAGAGGAGAAGATTTAAGAAAAAGTAAGAAAATTCTTAAATTAATGCAGTGTATTTGGTTAATTGTAGAATTATATTTGTAGTTCTTCAATATTGATATGTACAAGGAGGTGCTGAGGACATTCTTGATTTGGCCAAGATGCAAAAATCTGAAGTCTGGTCAGAAAAAAAACCCATAATTTTTCAGCACTCTCTTGTATGATTTGTTTGATTACAAATGGAAATCAATTTTGATGTCTTTTATTTGTTTCTATTTTATTGTTTTCTTCATGTCCTCATTTATTGACATTTTGCCAATGCTGACTTTGTCTTACATGATATTTACACAATTAGAGAAATAGCTATCAGTTGGAACTGGAAAACAAGATTGTTACTTTCCTCTTTGATACCTTGACTTCAAAAATTTAAGCTCAGTACTAGATTGGCAGTTAGGTTTCATTTTACTGTTGAAATTATTAGATGTAACTGTAAGTTCTGTAGTAACAGAACTTTTCACCTATGGAACTCTCTTTTGGCTTCTTGTTTTCCTTTCACCTACGATCTTTCAAAATATTAATGTAATGCCAATTATCATCTCTTTTTCTCCTTGAATTCTGTCCTTTTAATGTTCTTTTGACTCAATAATATTTTCTTGGTTTCTTTCACACTCGGTGACCTCTTGTGTCTTAGTGGGTTTATCACCTTGCCTGAGGAGAAATGATTAAAAAAAATGCAGACATTTGTAGAGAAAAACATAAAATATTTTAATCTAAGTAAGCAATTGTGATTTTTTTTCTTTATTCTCCTAACAGGAAATAAAAAAGCCAATGTATTTTTTAGTCTTATTGAATAAAAAGTGTTATTTTCTTTTCCGAGAAGTAAGATAATTCATTCAATTGAATAAAAGAAATTTATTATGTTATCTTTTGAAAAATGAAATTCTGGGGCATTTTGCATGTTTCACTAAATTCAATTTTGAATTTATTACAAAAGTTCAAGAAAGTTAAACACAAGAAATTGTTTTTGTTTTCGCATTTGTTAAAAATTTGAGTATTTTTTTTTTTTTTTTGAGGAGGAGGAGGAATTGGATTAAAAAATAAAGTATAAAAACAATTGATATATTTGAGATTTATTTAATATTCAAATTTATAATTTTCTTGAATACATTCAAATTGTTATAGTCTTTTAATTTTTCTTCAGGTATATCATTGCTTGTGAAAAATATTAAATGACGTTTAATGCTTCTTTCTATTTTGTTGCAGTCAAATTTAGGCAATATGGACACTCGTAAAGAACAACTAAAGATGATTGGTGGAAATCTGGCTCTCACACAGGTAACTAGTAGTTTTGTTTACAGTGAATAAATCGTTTTGAACAATTAGCAATGTTTTAATTAAACCTTTTGGCCGAATTATATTTATTATATGTTTTCAGTACTACTTTTTTCATAACAAATAGGTTATTAAATGTTCAGATTAGATGACCCAAAAATGCAAGGTCTTAAAAATTCTGTTTGTTTCTGATACTTGAATGTATGATGAATCATGCTTTCACAAACATAAATGTATTGTGTATAGTTGGCTTTGGAATATATGGTATGTAGCTACTCCTATGGTCAGGATATAACTTTTTCAAATTCATCATTTTCTTTTTTTGTTAAATTTAGTTCTATCTGAGTATGGATCAATGTCTATAGCTCAAACCTGTTATCAACTAGATTTTGATCTGAAATTTTCACTGTGTAATGCTTAGTCTATGTGATTAATGGAAAAAAAATTGATTAACTATAATGAAAGTGAGGGAAATTATGTTGAAAAGTAAAATGTTTATGTAAAATAAATGCTTCAGACTTGCTGATGTAGTTGTGTATAATACAGTGTTAGGCAGAAATACCACCCAAATAATGATAAGACATTAGTAGCAATGGTGTTTTCATCTAACTAATATCTTACTATTATGTGGGAGGTATCTGTAAAACTAAAACTGTAGAAATTCATAGTCAAATATCTACAATTTATCTTTTTAATGATTGTAGTTTTCATTGTGATTCCTTGGCTTATATAGATTTTTGAACATGTTTCATGTTCTATGCCTGACAGTGATTGTCTCCAAACTCTAAAAGCACAAATGGCAGAAACATTTGTATTTATTGGGCCTCAGGAAATCTGATAGTTTATCTTAATTCTTGATAAGGCAGTATTGAAATGTTTCCAGACTTGATCAAAAAAGATAACTTGTGGCTAGAAACTGAGATATAAATCTATTAATATAAATAATGTGGCTGGCTGCTTGTTTCCAGGTGTACCTGTCTGCTTGGGTAGCAAGCCAATCCCTGTTGCAGACACATGCAAGACCCACAGATCCCACCTATCATTTATACTGCAACTATGCTGAGCTGGCCTTAGTTACAGTTTCTGAAAGAGACGACATCAACTACCAGAATCAAATTTGAACAAGGCCAGCATGCTCAATCCCTTGGTCATGATGAATTGTGACTTTGTGATAGTAAAAATCATTGATGAATAAATCAATTTACCCAATTTCACTCAAAAAGTTTGGGCCAACCCGTGATATGGTTTTCAGGCACTTTCTAAAGGTACTGCATGCTGATATATATTAAGTAGACAATGCCTCAGTCGTAAGTGGTAATAGTCCCAATGCCTCAGTCGTAAGTGGTAATAGTCCCAATGCCTCAGTACTAAGTGGTAATAGTCCCAATGCCTCAGTACTAAGTGGTAATAGTCTCTTTCATGCTTGAATACAATCTTCATGGCCTGAAAATTGCCATTAAGCTTGAACCAGACTGTCATTACTTGGTGTTGACCTTACTGTCCACTTTTATATTTACACAATCTATTCCTGATATTGAGCACTTTTACCCATAAATATAGCATACCTTAAAATTATATTTTTATCACGTGTGTGCACACACACACACACACACACACACACATTTATTTATTTTATTAAAACATTTTTGTTCAGGAATATTTTTATCTGATTCCAAATTAATTTTCATTCATTTCTAAATGATGCATAAAAATTTGAATTTATTTTTATCAGTTATCTATTTTTTTATATTTATTTTTAGGCTCAAGCAATTGTAGTTGGATTTTTAGCTTCTTTGGCTGCTATGGTGATGGGTTGGATTCCTGAGGGTAAATTCAATCTCTACCATGCTCTACTTTTATGTGCAAGCAGCATGCTCACTGCATCTGTGGCAAGTTTTATTTTAGGTGAGAAACATTTCATCTCTTTTTCTTTGTCTATCATTTTATTTTTTATTTTCATTTCTTTAAGCATTGAATACTTACACCTACTTTTTCAATTTCTGTTCATACAGAATATTCAAATCTACTTGATATACAATATATATATAATTTTTATGGTTAGCCCTTAAAGTACCTTTTTTTGACCTCCAGTAGCCAAGACCTCTTTCTCTCTGTTTTGAACTTCTCACTTTCGACAGGCCAACTTGGAAAGCTGCATGTGCCATGGTTACAGATCACTTTTCAACAAGGGAGGACGTTTTTACTGTTCTTTTTTTTTTTTTTTTCCAGTATTTTCTAAAATTGAAATAACTTAATAATTAAAAAAATGGCTTGGTAACAGTTATCTTCATGTCTGTTGAAATATCACTCTCATATTAAAACTTTGCCAGTTGTACATCTTGTTTGCTTATAAATACTTTTGTGCTTGATGTATGTTATTATATTCAAGAATACTTTTTATTAGTTATGTTCATATTTGCACCTTTTTTTTTTTTTTAATCACTTTTATGATTTGGTATTTTCTTTGATCAAAGAAAATACAAAATAAAACAATATTTTTTTATTTTTTTTACTGAAAGATATAAACATACTAGAATTGTGTGAATGATTTTTTTTGGTGGTGGGGGGGGTAAGAGAAACTATTTACATTAGTCACAGCACTATATTATGTGTATTTAGTGATATTTCTTTGATCCAAAGGTGATCTTGAAAAGTATAGTCAGCTTCAAATGAATTCATCAATCTAGTGTCTTAGAAAGGGTTAAACTGATTTTTTTTAAAGAAACTCTCTTTGGCTGGTATATCAGCAAACTGGCTAATATATTTTTTTGTTAAAGCTTTGGCTGACAGAATTATTTTGTGCTAATTTCCTTGGCAAAAAGACAAACTCCCAAACTTTCAACATATTCTTAATATGTATAAGTTGTTGAAAATAAGTAAATGCATACCCAGTTCAGTTATAATTGGAAATGTAATGAGTTTGTTTTTATTTAAAGTTCGTACTGTAAGAGCAGCAAATAAGTTTGTTTTCTTTATTTTAGCCAGTAGCATTTTTTCCCTGTCAGTTTGTCAGCAAGCGACAAAGTCCAACCACAGACACACTGCATGAGGAAATAGAGAAACTGGCTTAACCACAATGAAATGATTCACAAACAGTTTTTATAGCTGTCTACTAATTGGCATGTCAGGGTAGCCTGTTTTATTTTATTTTCCAATATTATTTTGACTGTTGCTACTTTCATGTCAGACTGATGTCATTTCTTCTAACTTATAAACAATTGTACATATTTTTTTGTTCTGATTTTTTAGAGAGAAAAATTTCATTAAAAAATGTTTTATATTATGCAGACCTTCAAATATGAAGAAACAATGAAGAAAACTTTGGATTTAATGTTCTGAATATAGTGAGGATTTCTTTTTATATTAACGACTATTTGAAGTTGCATCTTGAATATTTTTAGTCTGTTTTTCACTATATTTCTCTTAATTCTCCAGTGATCTATATATGCAGTCCAATAAAGAAGTAATGGCATTAGTCTGAATATATATATATATCTACTATCTATATTTCTCATGTTGTCTGTCTGTTGTGGGTTTTGTTACCTCGCCCAGGCTGCATTTCTCACCCGATTTCGATGCAGTTTTCACCATAAGTTTACAAATGGCTGCCGTAAGGACATGGCGGAGCCTGATTTTTGAGTTCAGACTCAGGTTCCAAAAAAATCGATAACCGAAAAAAATCTGTTTACAGAAGGAATGATTGCATTTCAACCAAATTTGACACCTCTTAGAGTCTACCATTAGAAGTGTTGTCCAGAAGTTTCATGACCATGGACCCCTAAACAGCGTGGAAAATCGATAAAACCCCAAAACCGATATGCCCAGTTTGCTCCTGATCTGCATGTCGGTTTTTAGTGAAAACCGACCTGATTTATGAGGAGGCCATTGGGAGTCACCATATGAAGTTTCAACTCTGAGCGCCCCCCCAAACAGAGTGAAAATCGACAATCGGTCAACCCTTAAAAATGTTTTTCTGGTTGGGTATTTCCTAAATGCAGATTAATTTAAGGTCACTCTATGCGCAGGAAGAAACAGGTCAGTGCGTGCATTGGACTGGAAGAAAACATTTGACCTCAAATTCTGGAATGGGTGCAGGGCCATTAAAATTCGGCTTTTTTTATCCCTGCTACCAGGTCTGACTTTGAGCCACAAATGACATATTCAACTTTGTCAACACTTTTGCTTTAATCATTGCATCTTACCAAAATAAGCACTTCCTTTATTCGTGTCTTTACTGAAAAAGACTCACATACGTGCTGAGTGAAAATGGTTCTGCCCTCAGCAGTCCATTTTCCAATTCTTTAAACCTTTTCCCCTAGCCCAGGCCACGTCCCTGACCTGACTAGGAGTTTTTGCACTAAAACAGTAGGGCTTCCTCCCAATCCATTTCAAAGCTAATGCCGGCAAACGGTTAGCAGCTTTTCATTGTTGCACCAAACAAGCAAACGCTTCATTGCAGCTCCTTGCATTCTCATCGCCGGCATCACGTGCGTTAGAGCCAAGCTGCATATGCAGCTTGACCCCATTTATGGCAAAGCCTTGCACTTGTCAATCATGTGCGTGTGCATGAATGCGCACTACCATCTTCCATTTTGTGTGAGCTCATTCATTGGTCTAAGTCATGGCCATTGTCCAGACTATACCAATCAATGACAAGTCACGCTCCCTTTAAATACCTTCAGCATAGCTGCATCCGATCTCACATCTTGATTTGATCACCATTAACGCATCTGTCCTTGGATTAATTGACAGCTTCCTGTTACCGCAAGTTACATATTTGCTTAAACGTTTGCATTACCCATTTTATCTCCGTGTGCTGCCTTTACTGTGCAGCCCAGTCCATCTTAGCGTTCCATACCTATTTCTACCTTTTCGTAGTTCAGTTTTGCTATTAGACAGTTAACTGTTGTCGCAAGTTACTTCTCTTCTGCTTTTACTACGTGGCCCAGTACACCTCAGTGTTTCACTACTTTTTAACCTTCAACGCTTCAACATTTTGGTTGTGTAACCTCTTCCTACAGCGATGTTTTCGTGCTGCCAGAAAGCACGACTCATAGCTAGGAGAAGCTTTTTCCATACTGCTTCACTGCATTTTTAGTTTTCGTATACAACGAGGTTGCACCACTTCAGCTTCGGCATCAACTTCTATTCGCATTCTTACACAGCATTTCTACAACCTTTCAAATGGCTCCTACACGATGAACATCTGCACGTCAGCAACTGAATACCCCTAATACCATTAACGTTACACATGCAGAACAGGCGACTGGGGAGGAGCACATAATAACTCCGGTTACAGATGATCATATAGCGTCTACTTCAACCTCTGCTTTGCACTCTTCTGCATGCCGTGGTGATGACCAACCTGGCAGCTCTGCAAAGGCTGCAAAAACACCCAGGTGAGGCAACCTTAGGAGGCGTTCTAAAAAAAGCCTCACTGGCTAAGGGGAAACGGTGCGCCTCTTTGGGGGAGAAGCGGTTGGCGTCTACTTCAACCTCTGTTTTGCACTCTTCTCAGTGTCATGGCGTTGACTGACCTGCCAGCTTTGCTAAGCGTGCCAAAATACCATGGCGAGGCAACCTTAGCAGGCATTCTAAAAGAGCCTCTGCGGCAAAGAAAAAGCGAGAGGAGGAAACCGAGGTAGAGGCCTCTTTGAGGCTTTCAAGTCAACCTCGACGGAAGCAGTATGCTTTGTCACATGAAATGCTTGGTGAGCATAACTACCGTTTGTACTGCAAATCAGTTTACACATATTTGTTGAAAAGTAAGAGGAAACTGCCTAAATGCTTACAAGACAACAAAAAAGCGGCTTCATCACAAGCGCTTTTGCGGTCTCAACAGAGCCCACATCAAAAAGCTACTCACAATGCAGCCGACGCCACTGCAACGTCCATTCGACGGTCCCAGTAATCCATGGCTGAGAAAACAGCATGCCATGCAGCCGATACTGCTGCAACTTTTGCTGCAAGGGCGTTGGGAAGTTCCGCGCAAAAGCCCACAAGGCAGCAACATGATGCAATTTCAACTTCCACTGCTAGAACTGTAGAAGGACCTACTGAAAGGCTTGAAAGGTTGCAGACTGTTAACCAGTGCCGCCATGCACAGTGAGGGCTCTGTAGCCCACCAAATGAGTTTTGGTTTAAGCTGGCTATGAGCCAGTTTTGAGGCTTTCCGGTCACAAAGACCTCCAAATAGGATCCATGTCAGTTGTCTGTGGGCATTGTAATGCCAAAAAATGGCCTGGGGAGTCTGCAGGTTTGTGTTGTTCAGACGATAAAGTACAGTTGCCACCTTTTCAAGAGCTACCTGCTCCGTTGAAAGCTCTGTTGGAGGGTTCCAGTCCAGACTCCAAACATTTCCTTGCAAAAATCAGACAATACAATTGTGCCTTCCGGATGTGGTAATGCCTTCCACGAAGTCGGTTGGAATCCCACCTTCAAGGTTCAAGATCAGATTTACCACCGGATTGGGTCTCTTTTGCCGGAAACTGCCACTGATTTGGCCTTTCTACAAATATACTTCATAGCTGACTACAATCAACAGGCAGATGCCCGCATGGGCATTATTCTCGAGAACGATACAGGCCAGGACAATCATCCTCGCAGGCATATCATAATGAGTCTCCAACAAATGCTCCATGAGACAAACAGCTATGTCCGCAGTTTTAAGTATGCTCTCGAAAATAACACTTCTGATTTCATTATTGTAAATGATACTGACAAACGGCCTCAGGGAGAGCACGAAGTAACAAAGTTTCCGTCATTGTCAGCGGTGATCAGCACAACAGACGTGACATTGTTATCAAATTGCGTGGCAGTGGGATTCGAAAAATCAGTGAAACGCACCGGTCCTACGATGCACTGCAATACCCACTTCTCTTCCCTTACGGAGAAGATGGGTACCA